ATTAAGCTAAGAAATAACATTCCACTATAATAATACATAAACAATAGATCAACTAAATCAAACAATTCCCAGCTCTTAACTCTTTCCATCCAAATATATCTATCTCCTCTTCTTTTGATTTTTTTTTTCTACTAATTCATCTATTAAAAGTTATCTTTTTCCATCCCAAACAACTAAATAATATGAAAAGATGGAACATGCATGTAATTTAGCACTTAGAAATTAAAATTATTAACTAAATAAAAACTCAAACATTTTTATAAATTCAAGTTTCGGTTAATTTAATCACCTTCTAAACTAAATAACAAAAAAGTAAAAAAGTAAAATCCTAAAGCAATTCAATAACCTAAGAGGAGAAGATCTTAGAGTTTTAGTTTAAATAAGTGCCTGGTTGCATGTTTCATTTATTTAGATTATAATATTCTTATCTTTTGTAAACTATTTAATTAAATTTTAATGTTCTTTGTACTTGAAATAGTGGTTCTAATTATAATAAAATATTATAAATTGTATTAGTCTTGAATTATTAAGTATGAAAAACTATAAATAGTTAAATGAGAATAACTTAAAATTTTTCATGATAAATATGTTATTTAAAAACTTAAAATGATAAAAATATTAAAATATATGCACTAAATTTTAAATTTTTCAAAAATTAGCATCCCTCCCCCTGCCTTGATCTCCGTACAAAAATTGGGTTAAAATATGCATTTAGTCTCTCACCTTAATAAATTTGAAGTTTTAAACATCTTAACTTATATTATAAAGTTTTTAACTCATAAATTTAAAAATTTAAAGATTTTATCTCATAAACTAACAAAATTCGTTAACTCTTCGTTAAAGTGAGAATAAAATATTATCAAAATCAGTTCTCAATAATTAAAAATGTAACAATTTACTTTGAAAAGTTTAAAACTTTTAAAAATTAATAAATTAAAAATAATTAGTGAATGACTTTACCACATGCACGAGAACAATATTAGATATTTACAATCAAATCAAGTGATTAACTGAATCTAAAAAAAAAAAAATCTAAAAGAGATTAAAAAAAATTCCTTAAATGTATTCTTCTAATTTCTTAAACTTCTATCTTAACTCAACTAAAAAATTTTCTTTAATTTCAATTAATAAATTTTCTTTAATCTTAATTAAAAAAATTTCGTTAATCTCAATTAAAATTCTTTCTTCAAATTAAGCTAATCATTTCATTTCTAATAAATAGCTAATGCTGTTTTAGTGCAACTAAGAAAGTCATCTATTAATTCTTGGGATTCTCTATCTTGTCCCTTAGGGCACAGGACAAGGAAATAATAAATACACATTTTATAATTAATGGATATAAAAAATTATAAAAATTAATTTGAATTTCATTAATTGACTAATTAAAATTACCCACGTCGCAATAACACAAATAAAAGTTAACTTTTATTATTTTGTATAAATTAATTATAAAAATGTGCATTTATTGTACTTTAACCTATTCCCTAAGACAAACCCTTAATTGTTTTTGTTTACTAATTTTTAAACTTTTAAAACTTTTAAAACTAAATTATTATATTTTTAATTTTTGATGACAAATCCTATAAATATTTTATTCTCACTTTTAACAAAAAGTGAACGGATTTCATTAGTTTAGAAACTTAAATCTTCAAACTTTTAAGTTTAAGTGTTAAAAACTTTTAAGTTTAAGAGTTATAAACTTTATAACATAAGATGGGAGCTAAAAGTTTCAAACTTAATAAGTTAAGGAACTAAATGCATGCTTTAATCCAAAAATTGAGAGACCAAAAAGAGTCTAAACCTACTTTCTTACTATATTATACCAAAAAATGTAGTATAGTTCGAACCGTATCGAACTATAATACATTAACCATTAGATAAGGGTGGATTTCTTAATATTAAGAGCTTTCTTTCCCATCTAATGGTTCTATTTTACAATTTAATATAATACAAACCGTAAAAGAAGGTTCTTATATTCTATACAAAACAATTTTAGGGAGGGAGAAAGAGGGTGGTTGCTTCGACTTCGAGGCGGAAGTACTAGCAACGGACTGGGCTAAATGCCAAATTTATTGTTTTGCAGTCACGCGTTTATGACATAATTTTTTGACTAGTGGCTAGCAGTAACAAATGACAAGAATATGAAAATATGGGACTAAACTAAGCGTGATATCAAAAATGGTAAGCTAATATAGCTTGACAGACACAGCCAATTCCAGAAATCACCAACATAAAGCTGTAGAAGGTACAAGCCAACAATCAATCCATTAAAAGCAACAAACAATAAAGAAAAGCAAAAACCTATATATGGCCAATGGTTATGCCACCCAAGCAGTTGTTAAGGTCACACAGTAACAGTATAATTGTATTTGGTTTGACTATTATAAGCAATTAATAACTATAATTGTTAAATAATAATTGATAAAATAATTAATATTTGACTTAATAATTTAAAATTAATCTACAAACTAATATTTTCAGATACTCTAATCACTTATAAACTAATAAAATCATACAAATCAAGCACTATTGCAATGTTTCGTGTGACCTTAACAATGATTTGTGTAGCCATAACCATGGCATTTTTACACACACCCCTCTAAACATTTCAAGTACCTATAGCTTGCAAACCACTTCGATGTGCATCATGAACCTAAAAGTATGAATTTTCATTTTGATCCAACAATACATGAATTTAATTAATAAAGGAAGCTGCTGGGACTTACCCGATAACACTGGTACCACCAAATCGTAAAAGCTCATACATATCCAGCTGTTGAAAGAGAAAACGCTTGACAATGTTGCCCATACAAAAGACCTGCAACAGCTTCAGAACAATTGATGCTATATATGAAAGACAGATACCGATCGC